GGATATTTGATGAGTAGGTTTTATACCTACGAATTGAGTACTTTCGGTTTAATAAAATTGCAAGTTTTCAATTAGTTTATGTTCATTTTTATTTGTTTTGTGTGTTTTGATGTTATTTTGTAAGGATGATCATTTGGAAGGAATTATGATCAATTGGGAAGAAACAAGGTCAATTTGGAGCCAAAAGGGTGAATTTTTGGAAGAGGACAACAAAGGGCATTTTAGTCCTGCAGAGGGGGGCGCGCCTAGGCGCTGTCCATGCTTTTGCGCCTTTGTGTTGGTTCATGACGTGAATTTTGACTTGTTTTGACCCGAAATTAGACTCTAAAGCTACATATATGCTAGGGTTTGTGTGTGGTTGATATATTCTGACTTTTGGGGACTAAAAACATTGGAGAAAGACCAAGGAATTGGAAGAAAATTGAAGACAATAATCGAAGGAATCGACACAAAGAAGATTGGACTTGAAAGCTAGAGAAGGATTGAAGATTGCACCTAAATTTTCATTCTTTTCTCTTACTTTTATTTCTTGTTTCTCTAAGATGTTGTTTAATTTTAGAATAATGTCTTTCAATTACATTATGAACTAAATTTTTATTAAGATTGCAACGAAATCTATGTTTAGTTAAATTAATCTACTCTCGTTTCTAGTTCTTATTGATCTTATATGAGTTGTTTGTCATATTTTGTGATTGATGTATGATTCTGTGGCCAACAATTAATTTGATAAACTAGATGAAATTGGGAGATGAATTCTAAGTTTAGATCGAAATATGATGACATGCGTCTGATTAATTTTTCTTATGATTGAATTGCTGGGTTTGTGTATAGGATATGAATATACCTATATGCCGTGAGTAACTTTTATGAAAGTTTGAACTTAATGAATCTATTCCAACTTATTTTGCATAGGAATATAGTAATTTAATTGGGATAGATAATTTTATTTAACTATTGGAAGAGGTTTGATAAATAATTTTGAGTTCTCAGTTAACAACTTATTTTGATCAATTGATTGAAAAGAGAGTAGAAAGATTTATACGAAGCATTAGGGGAAGTTGTAATCTTAACTTCTTTCATCTGGTAAATTGAACCCTTGATTGTTAAGTTTAGATTTAGTTTTAATTTAGTCATTCCATAGTTCAATTCCAATTGTTTAAATAAAATTGAATTGATATAAAGTTAGTACTTGGATATTATTAGCAATAATTCTCCGTGGGAATGATACTCTACTTATCACTTTATTACTTGTTGATCGTGTATACTTGCACGTAAATTGTCAATATCAAATTCGGACAACAGAAGTTTTTAAGGAATTCAAAAATCTTATTGAGAAATAAAGTGGCTATTTTATCAACAGGTTGAGATTCGATCAAGGTGGTGAGTATAGTTCTGATTTATTTGAGGACTATTGCAAGGAGCATGGAATTGTGCATCAATTCACTCCAAGCTACACGCCTCAATTGAATGGAGTTGCGGAAAGAAAAAATAGGACTATTCTTAATATGGCTAGAAGCATGTTGAAAGGAAAGACATTGCCTAGAGAATTTTGGGCTGAAGTCGTAGCATGTGCAGTGTACTTGTTGAATCGATGTCCAACCAAAAGTGTTCATTTCAAGACCCCGAAGCAAGCTTGGTGTTCATTCAAGCCAAGTGTAGCTCATCTCAGAGTTTTTGGATGCATTGCTTATGCAAAGATTCCTGAAGCTAGGAGGACAAAACTTGATGATAAAGGTGAAAAGTGCATTTTTCTTGGATATGGTGATAGAACAATGGGGTACAAGTTATACAACCCCATTACCAAGAAAGTAATTATGACTAGAGATGTAATCTTTGAAGAGGAAGACATGTTAGATTGGAAAGAAAATATTTTAGCCATCGAAGTGGAACTTATGCTTGAAGAAGAAGAGTCTGAAGAACCAAAGGAAGTCCAAAGAGAGCCACAAACACCTCCACGTGGATCCCCAACATCTTCTACAGGTGAACCATCATCATCATCTTAATCATCGAATTCAAGTTCAAGTGAAAGACCAAGAAAAATGAGAAGTTTGCAAGAGATTTATGAATTTACGAAAAATTTTGAAGGTAACTTGAATTTGTTTTGTTTGTTCATGGATTGTGATCCTTTATGTTTTGAAGAAGCGGTTCAAGAAGAGAAATGGAGAATAGCAAAGGATGAAGAAATGAAGGCAATTGAAAAGAATAATACATGGGCACTAGTTAGTCTTTCCCAAAGTCATAAAGCAATTGGTGTGAAGTGGGTATATAAAACCAAGAAGGATGCAAATGGTGAAGTCCAAATATACAAGGCAAGGTTGGTTGCTAAAGGCTACAAGCAAAGGGCTGGAATTGATTATGCGAGGTATTTGCTCCCGTTGTTCATTTGGAAACGATTAGGTTGATGATTTCTTTGGCGACACAAAACAAGTGGAAGATTTACCAACTTGATGTGAAACCAGCATTCTTGAAGGGATTTCTTGAGGAGGAGATTTATGTTGAACAACTTTTAGGGTATGTGAAAAAGAAACAAGAAGATAAAGTGTACAAGTTGAAAAAAGCTCTCTATGGATTAAAGCAAGCACCGCGCGCATGGAATGCTAGAATTGACAAATATTTTCGTGAGAATGGTTTTCAAAAGTGTCCTTATGAGCATGCATTATATATGAAGATGGATGGCAATGGAAGTGTGCTACTTGTTTGCCTTTATGTTGATGACTTGATCTTCATCAGCAATGATCCAATGATGTTTTGTGAATTCAAGAGAAGTATGATTAAAGAGTTTGAAATGACTGATATTGGCTTAATGTCTCATTTTCTTGACATTGAGGTTAAGCAAAGTGAAGATGGAATTTTTATTTCTCAAAGTGGTTAAGAAGTTCAAGATGGATTCTTGCAACCTGGTGAAGACACCTGTAGAAATTGGTTTGGAATTGAAGAAGAGCATTAGAAGTGGAAATGTTGATCCAACTTACTTTAAAAGTTTAGTTGGAAGTCTTTGGTACCTTGCACAAGGCCGGACATTCTTTATGGAGTTGGTTTGGTTAGTAGATATATGGAAACACCGAATCAAACTCATCTTTATACGGAAAAGAGGATTTTACGTTTTATTAGAGGTACACTCAATGATGGCTTATTTTATTCTTGCACTAATGATTTTAGACTTGTTGGATATTTTGATAGTAATTGGGGACGAGACTTGGATGAAAGAAAAAGTACCTCGGGTTATTGTTTTTTCATGGGAGATATAGTTTTTACTTGGTCATCCAAGAAGCAAGCAATTGTTACTTTGTCTACGTGTGAAGCGGAGTATGTGGCTGCAAATTCAACAATATGTCGTGCTATTTGGTTCAGGAATTTGTTGAATTATTTGAGATTTTCTCAAGAAATTCCCACAGAGATCCTTGTTGATAATAGATCGGCAATGGCGTTGGCAAAAAACCCGGTGTTCCATGAGAGGAGTAAACACATTGATACACGCTACCATTTTATTAGAGAGCATGTGCAAAATGGAGAAGTGAAGTTGGTGCATTGCAAGACTCAAGATCAAGTTGCCGACATTTTTACAAATCCATTAAAGCATGATGTGTTTGGAAAATGAAAAATGATGCTAGGCATGAGAACTAAAGGAATTGAGTTTAAGGGGGGATGTTAGTTTTTTTATAAACTCAATTCTTAAAGGGTAGTTTTTGTATTTTTGGGTTTATGATAAGTCATGGTATTTGAAGAGATGGTCACTAGAAGTATCCATAATATTTTGGGAGTCTTGTTCATGCATGGCTACATGGGAATTCAAACAGTTTTTTCTTGGAGGCAGCAGGCCATTAAGTGGCCAGATTCAAGGTGATTTGGCTAGGAAAAATTAGTATAAAAGGGGCTGGCGTTACTGCCCAAAACAGAGAGTGTATCTGCAGAAAAAAAACAGAGAGTAAGACATTAAAAAATCTGTTTTGCTTCCAGAAAAAACGCAGCAGAATGTTTATGAGCAAAAGCTCTATTCTTTTGTATTTCTTGAGTGTTTGTTGCTGAAAAATTCAAATTAGCTTTCCCTCTTGTATTCCTAGATATTGTGATCATCTTTTATGAAAATATAGATGTGTTTCTTGAGTGAAATAAGTGTGGATATATAGCAGATTTTTATCCTCTGTTTTTGTGTTCTTTTGGTGATCCATTTTGCTTCCAATACCCAACATTGGGTTCCATGCCGAGGTATCTGTATGGCACACTGCTACTGCTTTAGCTTTGATCCCATCAGCCCCCTTCAAGGAAATAAAATACGCTTTGGTGGTGTGCGTTTTGTGACAACAAAATACTGCATACGCTCTGTTTGTGACAAGAAACTACTACTCGACCTGCCATCTTTCTCACCCCTACAGATAGGGTTGTCGATTAGTCGTGTCATATTGTGTTTCTATACCAAATAAGGTATGTCATGTCAAAATTTTCTTAACTTATATTCGACTTATTTATAATTATTTGGACAGATTACACTTTAACCCCCTCAACTATGATTTTTTATTTTTCACATTAATTACCCCATCAACTGCCATATTTCTCACAATACACCTTTAATTATGTCGTTAGTTTCACACATTTTCCAATAATTAATGTTTGTTACAAATATGATGAAAAAATATCTCCCCACCCCCAACCCAGAACTGTGTTTTTTTTTTCATGTTGCCTCTAACATGTTGTCAATTTTTGTCCAAAGGACATTTGGGTTAGGGGCAACATAAAATCAATTCCAATAGTCAAGGGATTGAAGGATTGAAATTGAGTTCATAGTTGAAGGGAGTTAAAGTGTGATTTGTCCAAATTATTTGACGTTCGGTTGTGTTCTTCTCTTGTACTTGTGTATAAGCCACATTTAGTCGGGTTCGTATGTAACACTGCGAACCCTACCTGTAATGCTATACTTTTGCAATTGAGTTTCTCTTCCACCACTGTGGACATTGCTTCAACTCTTTTCCCCAGCTTGGAAGTACTGAAATCTACCATTGCCTCTATCGAGTAGCACAATATTGTTCCTCCCCTTTGATGCCAGGTTCCTCACACTGCTTTATGGTTTTCTTCATTGCTTTAGTTTCCATTGAATTGGGTGAGACCGAGAATTTGTTCAGAATTTCAGGCATTTTTTCGGATGCAAAAGGGATCGATTCAGCGACCAGGTGAGGCAAGAAGACGGATTTTCTTCTCGTTTTAATGAAGTGCAAGTTCGTCTTTGTGCCTTTGTGCATATTCTTCTCCAAAAAGAAAAGAGCAACATTTGGGTTATCATGGAGTTGGTCCTTAGTAGCAGCATATACGTACGCAAAAGCCACCTTGAGACTCGTCCCTAAGTCTACAGCATCCTTCCTCACCACAACAGAAGTGCTTTTGTCTTCCAACACTTCTGCAAAATGCAAACCATCAGTAATCAATAATTTTGTAGGTTTCCAATATGTTGTTCTGAGACACTGTTGTGTTTTTAAACCGTGCAAATAGTGTTGTTACATCTTTAATATATCTCATACACAATATATTTACATAAATTTTTAGTTAATTTTGTGTCATGTACAGTAGGTTGGAGTCTGAATAAAGACTTAAAGTTGTATCCGCTGATTTCACTTTGAATCATGTTAAGAACTTCAACATTGGTATTTACGGGTGTGCATAGGTTTGATTATTTATGGGTCTCGTTATTCAGTTTGAAAAATAGGTCTAAAACTCAATAGATCCGATAGTTGGCCCACTTGAGTCCGAGCTTAATATCGTTAAAAAAATAGGTTTGGATTTTCCCCCAAATCCATTACTCGGCCCGAAGTCTGACCCAATAGCTCGCCCAAAAAGACCCCATTAATGCATGGCCTAAGAGTCCGTCCGCCCGCCCGCCTTTTCTTTTGAAAAAAATTATACTTTTAGATCATTAAATTTTAAATTTTGAAATAAGTTTCCTAATGTCGAAATTTGAGGTTTTAAAAATTTAAATACTATAAATAATGTATTTGTTTCCATATATTAAGCATACAAGTTTTAAAGAGTAGAGTAATGCAAACGATAGATAAGTGAGTAGGTATTAATCTAGTTGAAATGTATTTATTTTATTAGATATAGTTCATCTCCTAATCAAAAATAAAATTATTCATTATTTTATTTTTATTCATTTTGACTCTACTTTTGATTCAAAAATATAATTTATACAAACATTAAGTTACAAAAATATTCATTATTTTTAAGTGAAAATTGGGGCTGAGTCTTCCGAGATTGGCTTATAATGACTTAAGTCCGTCAAGAAAACTTATTTGAGGGTAAGTCTGTTTTTAATCTTATTAGTAAAAATTTAAGTCCACTTTTTTTTTTAATCTAAAAAATACGCTTAATAGTGTTATTTGGTCAATTATGGAAAGTTGAAAATATTATCTACAAGGAGTTATATATGGAGGTTATGATTGAATATATAAATGCTTGATTTGCGATGATAATTATCAATTACAAGCTTTCCATAATACTTCAAATTTAAATTTTTAGTCGTTATTTTGTTTGTTATATATTTAAATAATTGACTTTCGAGATTTGAGGCTAATTTGAAGTGGATGAATGTTGAACTGGAGTACGAGCTTGAGATTTTGAAAATGTAACATGGGCAGTGCACGCCAAATACTAGATGTTAGCATATTAACATCAATTCGGTAACATCAATTTTAAAACGTAATTTACTAACACATATCACTATTTTTTATGTTACTATTTTTCATTGAGCATGCATGTTATTACTTTTTCAATATTACTTTTTTGGATGCTTAAGAATTGCAAGTTTCTTCCTCTGGTTATGAGTTTGAATGCTACTATGTTTATTTTCTATTTTGTTCAATATTCTAAATTGCTATTTTTTTGTTGAGCATGTTATTATTTTTGTTAAGTATGTTATTTTTTTTGTTGAACATGTTACTATTGTTATTTTTTTAAATATTAATATTAAATGTTATTATTTTTTTTATTTTTAAATGTTATTATATTTTGTATTTAAATGGTATTATTTTTTGTGTTTAAATGATACTTTATTTTTTTATATTTGAATGTTACTATTTTTTATTTTTAAAGTTACTCTGTGTGTGTGTGTGTGTGTGTGTGTCTATATATATATATATATATATATATATATATATATATATATATATATATATATATATATATATATATATTTAGTGCTAACCTGTATATGAATATAGATAGATATTAGAGAGAATATTTTTTAATATTAGTTAGACTTCTAAAATTTATGAATTTTTAATTTTTAGTTTTACTTCACTTTTAAAGAAAATGGATAGTTTAGTAAAATTGAGAAAAAAACGGATTTCATAACAAATAAGTCCATATAAGGGGACCAACCTCGAAATTTTTATATTTTTAAATGAAGTTGTATATAAAAAAAAATGTGAGCAAGCCCCATCCAATAGGCTAGCGGGTTTGACTGCGGATAGAGACTTAAGCATACACCTTCCTATTACGGCCCGTAACACATTTTAGGGCCTAACCCGTGGACACCCTTATTGGTACTAAGAAGTAATTGTCTTTGAACACGTAAACATTATTTGAGAGACTTTGGCTTGTAACTCTTCCACTTTACATCTGTATCATGCACTTGATGGAAGAAGATTTTTCATGCCTTTATTAACTTGCTAATTTTCAGTTTTGAAAACACGTAAATCTGATTTTCCTGTTCTTGTTATTCTAAACATTGTCATATATGTATAGTCTTGTTATTATAGAGGTGTCAAAATGAGGGAACTTTTGCCAACATTTTTCAAGATCTCCCCCACCCACCCCAACAAAAAAAAACACACACACACACACCAGCAAAAGCAAAGGAAGCTGAGCCAGAGGGCAGTACTCTAAAGGTAAGTTCCAAAAAAATTTGATTTTTAACCTTTTTAGTTTGTTTTCTTAGGATGCCAAATGAGACTAACCTTCATAAAAGAATTGTGAGTTAGAACATGGTGCTTTTTGTTAGATTGTAGACCAACCAGTGTGCAGAATATCCTTGACTGCTTTGGGCACGGGAGTGTTTGGCAGCGCAGACTTCCAATAATCCTCAGGATCAGGAGGTAGAGCTGCATGGCTAGCCACCAATGCCAACTGATAAAAAAAAACAAAAAAAAAAAAGCAAATGAATTAAAAAGCCTATTTAATTCCTTATGCATCTCATTATGTTCTATGCATGAATTTAGGAATGAGTGAACATATATTACAAACAAACACATAGATTCCTCGGGAAAAAAAGCCTATTTAATTCCTGGGATTCTGGAATATTTATACTCACACAAAGAAATGTGAAGATGGGTAGGAGATGAAACTCGATTAAAATTATCGGATTCTACAACAGAAAATTGTGATAATGATATGAAATGGAGGGAAACAGGGAATTAAACCAAAGCCTGCTAGTTGCAGTGAAGGAAGAGAATAGGGTTGTTGCCATATTTATTGGCGAGAGTTAAAGGTTTGTTTGGATGGCGGGATATGTTCGGGTTTGGACTATCCCAACTTATGAAGTAGGGGAATAATTTGGGCAGGTTGGACAATCAACCCTCACTCAACATAGGTATATAATATTCAACTCTAACCCTAACTCTAACTCTAACCCTACCTCGGATTGGGAAACTTAACCCGAACACTGACCGAGTTTAATTCGGGCGGACTCGGGTTGAATTCGAGTTGATTATTTCGGGTTATTTTACAAGTTCAATTCGGGTAGAGCCCAAAAGAGGCTTGTTGTTTTAAACTTAATACATATATTACATAATATTTACCTAAATTAACAACCAATAACTTCAACCAAGTTTTTAACGCGAGAGACAAAGAGAATGAGAGAGACAGAGAACGATAGAACAAAAATGAAAAATCAGTGCTAATGTTTTATATATATATATATAATTTTTTTTTAATTTATCGAGTTTGGGTTAAACTCGGGTTCACAAAGCCTTAACCCGAACCCGAACCCAACCCAAATTGAATTCGGATTTAGATTTTTTGACGCAAGTCAAACTCAAGTATTAAAAATCCTTGCTCAAACCCTAATTTTTTTGAGTTGGGCTCAGGTTGAAATCAAGTTGCACAATCAAAGTTGCACCCCTATTATGAAGCACCAATAATTCCTTTATCCTGACGTATTCATATCGAATGCCACCATTCATACTTAGTAATTAATAATTTATTTTTCTATTTCTAGATACTTCTAAAATATGAGTGCAGAAAATACGTATATTTGTGCACATTAAGCATGTTAAAATGAGATAAATTTTTTTCAAAAAATATATTAATCATATCCGTATATTTCTAAGGGTTTACAATAACATTATATCAGTATTATATTATATCCGTATCTTGTATGCTCCCTGCATATTATCCAACCCACACCCATCCGGCCTCCAATTACAGTGCTTTTCCTTTCATCTCTTGTTTGGAAATAGGAATAGATAAGCAGTGGACCCAATCTCATCCCATCCAATCTCTTCTCTGGATGGAATATTTCTTCATGATACGTAGATCCACATTTCACTAATTAAACCATCGTTATTTGCATTCCAACTGCCCAATGCGAAACTTAGGGTTTTTCGCACTTTCATATTGTGAAAAGTTTTAAGATTATTATTTTGTACTTTTAAAAATTAAATATTTTACATCATACCATTAATGTATCAAAAATATTACAATATGACTTTTCTATTAGCTTTCTGTTAATTTTTTTGTTAGTGTTAGTGTCAATGAATTGACTTTTAATAGAAGAGTAAAACTATTTGAATCTAAAAATTTGACATAATTTATTGACATAATAATGTGGATTTAGTGGAACCATTAGATTAATACCAATGTTCAATGTTTGATGGGACTTACGATCAATCCAAAGATTATAATGAATTAAGTTACTAAATTAGATTCTAATAGCATTACTCATAACAAAAATACTGAAGAAAAAAATAATAGAATCTAACAGAAGACACCTATGACCTACATTGATAGTGTAAATTTAGGATTGATGTCTGTTATCAGTGGGAAACAATTCAAGTAGTTTGGTTATGGCAACGAAGTGGATTGATGTTGAAGACACGAGCCAAGGGTGTTTGATTTGAGACAGGAATCTTCCTTTTTTTTTTTTTTTTTGCTATTTGAGACAGGAATCTTGAGATACAGTGTGAAAATACACATTGGATCCTTTTAGGAGTTTGGTGTGCTTCTAAAATATTGTGCTCAAGTGGATTGTTTGTTGGAGCTTTCATGTGATCTTGCATTACTATGTGTTATTACATTTAAAAGTTTTGAGTTCGAATTTTGACATATTTTTAAAGTTACGTTATGACAAGTTTATTTTTTATGAATATCCTAATTTTAGCGTGCATGATATACTTTTAATTAAATAAGGTAGAGTAGGGTAAGGCGAACACCCAAAACATATAAATTTACGACACGTTTTTATTACCACATGGACTACTCTTGAATTTCTCGCCTGTCTTTTCAGTTTCTTAAATATTGTGCTGAAGTAGGTTGTTTGTTGGAGCTCCCGAGTGATCTTACAGACCCATGCGCTATTAAATTCAAATCTATGTGTATTTGTCTTTTTAACTGGAGCCACTTTTGACCAAAGCTTCACACTAAAGCTTTGCCAGTGTGGCATGATGAGGCCCAAGAAGTCATTTGTGATGAAAAGTGGGCTTTTGACAGTGTCTTGTGTGTGATATAGGACAAATATTAACAATTACTCTAATTTTATATTTATTATTTAGTATAATGAACAGTATATAAATGAGTCAATCAATTTTGGTCAAATCACAAATTGTTATTTTGGGGAAGAAGATGTGGCAATTGTGTTTTCATGGAGGTTGAGATGAGAGTTGTAAGAAAAACAAACAAGAAGTGGCCAAAAGTGAATATATTAGTTTAGAGATCAGCATGTGAATTTTTGGCAGAGGGTATCCACTTGCTTACCTTAATTTCTTTTTTTTTTATTATTAGTTTTGTGACAGGCGGATTTTTGGAATTCATCACTACTACACAAAATTTCAAATGCACACATACTTGTAAATCAAGCCATCGGTTAAACTCAAGTTTTATTCTATCAATCGAGATGTGACCGTAACAAATATAGGTTCATGTTTTTCATTCTTATTCAATCACTGCCCGTATTTTTTGTCTTTATTCCGGTTATTACGTGATTGTGTTTTTATGAGAGAATAGAATGAAGGTGGATTAAAAATAGAATGCACATTGTTATTCCAAAGTTTAGAAACAATCAGGATTAATTATTGGAATAGAATTAAAAATCAAGTATGTATTTTGATAAATCAACCTTTTGTTAACTTAAATTTAATCAGAATACTCCTGATAACATTAAAAGAATATAATGATTTAATTTGATGAGTTCAATGCATTGTTATTAAATAATATAAAATTTAAAAATTTAGTACTTGATGAGGAAAAGTTTGATAAGCACCCTCCACTTGCTAGGTTGGCTTTCTTTCTTCTTCCAATAACACTTGAACTTGTCCCAGCATCTGCACTAGCCCCTGCATTCGTCCCAGTACCTGTACTAGCCCCTGCACTTGTCCCAGCACTTCCACTAGACCTTGCACTTGTCCCAACACTCGCACCAAATCTCCCACCAACTGGACTTCTCACAACAATTCTACAACTTCTCTTGTTATGTCCTTTTTCACCATATTTTCCACACCTTAAAGAATTCTGGAACTTTTTTAGTTTATTAAGATTTGAATTGGTTTGTTTTTCTGGTTCCTTTTTTTCTTAGTGTCTTTGGCCTCCCTGGTTATTAATGGTAAAATGGAGGTAAAGGGATAGTATCGGTGGATGTAGGCCCTAAATTTTGTCCATATATGAGACTAATGCTGTTCCCATAAGCCCTCATTTATGGGATTAATGTTGTTCCCCTGAATGGTATGGGCTCATGGAATGCCACTCAAATCCCATTTTCTGCATGATCATGTTTGAGCATCCAAGTAACCAACACATCATCATAACAATGTGTAACTTCAAATTTTGAACCCTAGAAGAATATGCTATGCAAAATGAAACCTCTTTCTTGTTTTTCTCTAGAATTTCTTGAATTTTGAGACATATTTCAACTTCCCACTTTGCCATTACATCTCTCATCACTTAATCTCTTCATAAGGAGACCCCCAATTCTTTCCAACATTGATATGATTGGTTTGTTTCTAGCCCCAAGTATGTAAGCATTGAAGCACTCACACATATTGTTAAGTAATGAGTCACATTTAGGATGTGTGCTAAAATGTGACCTAGAACAGTGTTTTGGATGTTTATCATCAAACCATGCACATGCCTCTGGATCTTTAGCTTTCATTTTTTCTACATGGCTATTGACTCCTTTAGTAACACCACTTGCATTTACTTAACAATACTCTAGCAAAATTGGTCCATTACTACAATCTATCCTCAGGACTTCAGTAATCTAACTTTGTTATAATTCATTCACATCATCTTCATTAATCTCCTTAATTATAACTAAATGTATCTTCCCAAATCCTATATCATCTACTTCTGAGAAGTCTTGGCCATCAAGAACATCTTCGATTGTTTGATGTTCTATGTACACTTCAACCATAGTGTTGGGGTACTAGCTATTCAAAACTGTGAATACTTTTGTATCGTAATACAAGTAAATTAACCTAGTATATCCAAGTCTTTTCTTGGTATACAATAATGATAACTCAGAATTTTCCCCTCATATCCTAATTGTCTAGCCATTTCGTCAAGTTCCAACAATGATATGTAATCTAGGTGTTTATGGCGGAAGTAGTCAACCTTTCCCCAATCATAAGCCATCTTTGGGTTCTTTCTAAATTCACCATCATGGTGCATTATCAAAGTAAAATATTTGGAACCTGTCTCTACAACACAACAAAAATTAGGGGACTACATGTCACTAAAAATAGGTAATTTTATAGTAGTGCATAAGGACCCACTACACCAACACAAAAAAAATAAACAATAAATTTTTACCTTAATCTGTAATATCGTCTTCAAATTGGTACTCATTGAGCCTTCTGGCCATTGTTGTCAACCTTCAATTCTCCGATGACGACGCACCCTAATTTTTCCAATTTCTCCAATTTGATTTTGAACCCTAAATGTGTTCAAGCTACTCACTTCGGCCTCGTTTGGAGTGAAGATCTGAAATTGAGGACTAAATTAACTAAATTGGTACTTTAGGGACAAAATTTTAATAAGTGACAAATTTTAGGGGCCATTGGTATAATTTTACTTCTAAATTTTTCTTTAAAATCAAAATGTTTTTTCTTAAATTCACAATTACAATATAAATCTTGAGTACAGATATACTTGCAAATAAAGTACATCAGTAAAAACCGAGTTACACTATCAAGATGGGCTACAACTATAGTACCAAAAATTAACCTCCACTTTTCATTCACTAAAAATGTCAAATATGATACGTCTAAAGTTTTTTTTTTTAATTTTATTATCGTTCAGTACTTTGATTTTTTTTTTCTCAAACAATGGTTGCAAATCATTCAAGCAAAATAAAAATAAAAAATAAAAAAAATCTAGGTGAATTTCGATATGGTACCGAATTGATAACTTACCTTATCCTTAAGATGGATGTGAACCCAAGAACTGTAAGTTTGTATCTCATTTGTGCCTCAATCCTATTTCGATCACTTTATTAGAACATTTCCAACCATGACTCAAATTTAAACTCAAATTTGAGTAAAAAACATATCCAATTGATAAACTCAAATATCTACTCCATTTTTAAAAAAATATTCTCTTATTGTCTCAAAACTGATTTTTTTATATCATTTAAATCATAAAATTTGATAAAATAAATGAAACTTTCATATTTCTCCTCAAATGAATAATTAAAAAAAATTTTGAATATGGATACAACGGTACCATCTAGGAATAAAAGGAAAGAAAAAAAATTATTCTAGAATTCTCAAATTGTTCTAATTTCTTATCTTCTTCTATAAATTCAGATAAAAAAAAGAAAAAAAAATAATTACTTTGACATAGGTTTGATCTAAAAAAAATACAAAAAATAGATCATTTTCAACGAAAATTGATGATTGAAGAAATAAAATAACTAACAGCATGTTTGGTTTGCATCTCAAAAAAGAGTATCTGAAAATTATTTTTGGGAAAAGTTTTAAAAAAGTATCTTTAAAAATTTTTAGATTTCAAAACCTGTTTGGTTATGTATTTTTGAAAATAGTTTTAAAGAACAAAAATTATTAAATTTGTGTGCACAATAATCCATAATTCCAACCTCTCTTCAACTCTCTGTCTCTCTTTCTTTCACTGTGCATCAAGACCACCACCAAAACCCACAAAGCGTTGAAACCGACAACCACCCAAAATCGACAACCACCACCAACCCACAACTACCACCCAAAACCCATAACCACCGCCGAAACCCACAACCACCACCTATGTCTTGAACCCAAATGTAGAAAAAAAAAAGACATCGAAAAAGACGGAGAAGACGCAAGAAATCATCGGAATTCTTGAACCTAGATCGTTGGTGTGTTTTGTTTGAATTTACCGAAGTAGACAGAGAAATGGTATGTGTTTCGTCTGGACAATGTTGTTGCAGAGAGAGAGAGTGGAGATGGAGAAAGATGCACGTGAAGGACTTTTATACTTCAATCAAAAAAAATTTATTTTGCTGCTAAGCAAGTTTGATGGGTGAACCTCATTAAAGAGGAGGGGTTGTTTCCCCTTCTTTTCTATTTTAGCCTGAAAATTCATAAAACATCATTTTGTTGTTCTTTAAAATCACATATCAATTTCTAAAATTTTTCAAAAACTTGGATAACAAAAAAGCTAAATAAACAAGTTTTTGGAGTTTTTGAAATTTTGAGAACAAAAAAAAAGTTTTTGGAAATCAAACCAAACACATCCTAATTTTCTAAATTTGTGAATAGTGAAGACTTGAAATTTAGTAAGAATCGGTGAATTGAAATTGCACTACTAACATTATTTAACTCGAAAAAATCAAAGCAAAATTTGATGTGTATGTTTAGGGTTTATATAATATGAAAGATGAGTGAGATTAGAATTTTGAAAAATATTAAAAATTAAGAAGATAGAAGATGAAAAGGAAAAAACTTATCTACAGGTCTTTAAAAGATATGTGAATACTTCGGTGGTAGTTAGTAATGAAAGCAGCGTAAAAGAGAGAGGTCAGAAGAGGCAGAAAACATATCGTCGAAGAAGTCTTTTGACTTTGGATAAGGTAAAAAGTTACCGTTAGAAATTTGATATAAAATTTGAGTCCCCTTCAATTTGGATTTAAAAGAAGTTTTTTTTTTTTTTTAATTTGGTATAAGTTTGAGTCCATGTTTAGAGAAGATTTTTAGACCATTTAGACTCAAATTTAAATTTGAGCTAAATCTGAGTCAAAATTAGAGATGCTCTTAAAGATTTGATAGAATACAAAGAGATTACTTAATATTTAGATAATCTAAATAAACATAAATGATTAGACATAGGTAATTGATCTTTATTTTATTTTTTACCCTGTAAACAGGGTTTAGTTGAATATGTACAAGCACCATAAAATCATAGTCTGTTGGATGTTTGATTCATGAATATAGCATAATTTGCTGAATCATGTACAGTCTTTGTGTTCCGATTTTCTATTTTACCTTGCTTTCCCTAGTCTCTCTCGTATTCTAAAGATTTTTGTATACATTCCCCAACCTATTTGTGTTTTTATCTTTAATGTTTGCATATAACATCTCTAGGAGTGTCCATGGGCCGAGTCTTGCTAGACCCATAAAAAAATTTTCGGGCCCGACTTGGGTAGGGTAGGCTCAAGTCCTTACCCAAGTGAGTTATCGGACGGGCCGAGTCGGGCTTTGGGTAGGAGTAGGCTACTTGAAGTCCAACACCACCACTCACTTGGCGAGGCTTTTTTTTGTATATATTCAATTTTATTTAAAAAAATTTTAACTTAATATTTTTGTAAATTATATTTTTAAATTAAAAGTAGAGTCAAAATAAAAAATAAAATAAAATAATGAATAATTTTATTTGTTAATAGGGGAGAAACCTAACTTTTTTTTTTTTAATTGAGCATTGATTGTACCTAATTTTTTTTTTTAGAGGCATATATTGCGATCAAACTTTTAAAGTTATGATGGTCAACTTTTTTTTAAACAATTGGGTGGAAGGGGAGATGAGTTGGGCCAGAGGACTCTTGGGCTAAATTTTAACGGATTTTTTTGCGAACGGACTCATAGGTCAGGTTTCGGTCAGGATAATAGGTTTGAGAGCAAACACAATCCCGTTCTTGAAGAATATTGTACTCGGGTTCGGGCGGGCCTATCGGGTTTCATGAGCCAACCGATCCATAGACACCCCTAAGCATCTGTATCAAGAAATTTTGTGTGCTGCAATTGCACAATAAATTGTGAAATTATTTTTATTATTTTTAATGTCTAGCCAAAATGATCATGAGTGATGTCTTTAGTTTTAAAAATGATAAGGTATATTCACGCATTTGCTGTTAAGAACTCACAAAAAAATTATTTCAACAGCCAAAAGAAGTTAAAAGTCAAATATTCCTATAAAAGATTTTAAGATAACTTGGAAGTCAAATAAGTATAAAAAAATAACAAATAGATGAAAATAAATAAATGGGTATATTTTACTTTAAAATAATAATTAAGAATAAAATTAAAAATTAAAAATTTTTCACGGATGTTGATTGTCATTTTTTTAAGTATCTATTTGGCCCATTTTTACATTTCCTCTATTGTTTATAATAGAGTTTCATCATTTTAAGACTGTCGTTCTTAAGTATTTATACATCTAATTATATTATAGATTTATTATTTGTATGATAATATTATGATATTGCCAATACCAAAAATCAAATATAATGCATATTTGGTGATAAAACCCAATTGGACAACTAAATGTATATAGTAATAGAATATAAATTGAACTTACTTCTTCATATAAATAAAGACATAAATATAAAAAATTGTATGTAAGTGTACTAGTACTAAGTGAGTCTAAAAGAAGTTAGAAGTCAAATACTGGAAGTCAAATAGGTATAAAAAATAAGAAAATGATGAAAATAAATATTTGGGTATATTTGAATTTATAATAATAATTAGGAATAAAATTAAAAAAATTTCACGAATGTTGACCTTTATAAATAGTATAGATATAAAATTTGTCTCGGAAGGAAAAGAAATTTTTTATCATGCAATAAATTATTTAGTTTTGCTCAAAATTATCCATTATATAGGTTGCATAGGTTATTCTCTAAATATAATTATTTTTTAAATGCTTTTGTTGTGATTGTTGACCTTGCATTTATCCATTGATGGAGCCACATTGTGGTCAAGGAGGCCATGTCCTCTTCAACTGTTCAAAATTATTCTGTACCCGTTTAGGTTTTAAAAGACCTATATCTTCCCTTACGTTTTTCAAAAATTTCTATGCATACGGTAATTAAAGTAGTACATAAGTCATATGTAATTTTTTACGATACATGTGAAACTAATAGTTACAATAATAATTTATTTGCAACTGTTACCTCATATAATAAATAAGATAGTAAGTGATTTTAATATGTCACAAATTAAAGTTTACAATCATGAGTAAGAATAAATTTGTTTTTTTATCACCCAAACAAATCTTTATGATTGCAAGGATTAATTGTTAGATTTTATACAATTAGAAATTTGACTTGAACGATAACTACTACGTCAATGACTCCATTGAATAAAATTTATGATTGTGCCACTGTTTGCATTTCGCCTTACCCAAGATAAAATTCTACTCTGTTCCTCTATTTCTAAGTACTAACAATGCATCACCACGTGTGTTGCACGTAAAAATTTTTGTTAAAATATTTGATAAAATAAATTATATTATCTCGTGTTTATCATACTTAAATTGTTTGTATAGTGGATGAAGGAAAAAAGATATATATGTCAATTTTTTGGCACCGAATGATATTGTATCAATAAAGTTGTCAATGTTTATTAATATTAGGGTTTTAGAAAAAAAAAATATTTTTTTTATATATCCTATTAACAGAGACATGACCATTTAAAAGTTTTGCAAAGACATGGAGATTTACATGATATGTTAGAAGTTAGTTTGTTATTTAAATATAGACAGACATATTATTTTTTTTTAAGTAATCTCGACGACACGAGAGAATTTTAATATGAACATAAATTATACATAGTGAGGGGGACATATGTACCTTACCTCGAAATGCATTTAAATACATTATGAGTAAAACTAAATAAATAAAAATGTATGCAATTACATCATAATGCATTTAAAAATAAAGCAAAAGAAATAAATTCTTAAAACTTAAGTAGCTAAACAGTAACGTGAACAACACTTCCATCACTTCCATGAACAATAACATTTAGACTTCAGCTTTGGAGATTTTGGAGTCCTTTGAAGATAAAAACTAGCTGAAGCACCAACTGCGCTGCAGCTAAATGGCACTTGCTCAAATCGCTAATGAAAAGGAAATCAGCCGCTATCCTCCGACTGATTGAAAGGTCATTTTCTTCCGTAAAATCTTCATTTGGAGCTGATCTTGTATGACTAATCTCCTACCTTGATATGGCATATCCTGAAAATGAGGATAAATTTGAAAGTCCCCTCTTGTCACTCCATAATTAGCTAAGCAATCTGCTACGTGATTAGCTTCCCTAAAAACATGATTAATTTCAAATTGGAGAGCTGATAACCTAGAGCATATCTCCTTCCAAATCTTCCACATCCTCCACTGAATAGCTATTTTCCCTCTCACCATATCAACCAAAAACATGGAATTAGATTCAATAACGACCTTATAGACCTCTAACCCAAAATCATAAAGCATCTTTAACCCATCTAACAAAGCCAGAAATTCAGCTTCCATGTTTGAGCAGACACCATAAAAATTGGACCCAACTAACACCACTTGTCCCCATTGATTCCTCAAAACCATCCCTCCTCCTGAAATTCCCGGATTCCCCTTGCAAGCTCCATCCACATTCAACTTTAACTCACCATCATTAGGCAGATCCCATCTCACCCATTTCTCCATCAACACAGGCTTAATATTAGCATTAAGGCATTGGAGAGTTACTTGCTCTTGTAAACTCCCCTTAACTTTCATATTAATGATCCTTGCATAATGTCCCAAACATTCCTTCACCTTCTGTATCACCATATTAGGAGTCATTCTCAACCCCTCATAAATCCTTCTACAACGCTCTTTCCAAAGCTGCCAATAAAAAATAGCTGAAGCACTTCTAATCAAACCATTGCCCACCGAGTTCCTCTTAAAAGCCAAACATAGTTGCATAAAACGAACAATAGGAGACTCCCCATCAATAAGAACAAAACCCAAAACAGCAGAGATACCTCCCCATATTCGTTTTGCAAAGGGACATTCAATAAGAATATGTCACAAAGATTCAGAATTTAATAAACAGAAAGATCATCTACTAGGCAGCAAAACACCTATGCTTTGAACTCTCTCATCTGGAAGCATAATTCTCTTATAAATTTTCCAAAGATTGAGCTGAGAACTAGGAGGGAGACACTGTGTCCATATCATACCAGCAACCTCATCCTTCTGTCTTCGTATACGTACTCTTTCCCAGGCCGTTTTCAAAGAAAACTCTACAGTAGAAGTACACTGCCATATTATTCTATCCTCATGTTTAGACAATACAACTCCTGAATTGAAAACCTCCTCATAAATATGCTCCTCAACATCTACTTCTAAAGTCTCCATATGCCATTGAGAATCAACCAATACTTCCGAAAGCATAGGAAAATATGTTGGAGCTATTTCAGTGTTCATAATCAAAGGACCTGTTCCAGTCCAGTTATCACACCAAAAATCCGTTTGATCACCCATGCCCACAAGCATCTTAGAAGCTTCCACCACATGTCTAAACCAAGGAGCCAATCTATTATATATTGGAGATCTTGCGCCACTGTCTTTGCTCAACAAATGAGAATTTTTAAGAAATTTCGAAGAAAAAATCTTTGCCCATAATGACTCACCCTTAAGAATATTCCACACTTGTTTTAACAAAAGGCTTTTGAAACATCCTCAAAGCTACGAATTCCCAATACCCCTTCATCACAAGGAAGCATTAATTTCTGAATAGAACACCAATGCCTTTTCCTTCTTTCTTCTTTGTTTGCCCAAAAAAAAGCCACAATTATCGACTGAACCTTAAGAATCAACCCTTGAGGCACCTTCATATTAGCAAAAAGATGAATTGGAATAATAGATAAAACCGATTTAATCAACACAACTCTACTCATATTTGACAACATCTGAGAACACCACCCTTCTATTTTCCTTCAAAACTTAATAATGACCTCCTCAAAATAAATTAGCCTGGTGTGTCCCTTGATTAATGGACAACCCATATACTAAATGGGAGCTGTCCTGATAGGAATTTGAGTAATAACTGAAAGCATACGTCGCTTTGCAATAGAAGCCTTCACAGAAACTTTTCTGCCTATTCACCTTTTGCCCAGAAAGAACTCTCATACTCTCCAATAAACTTCATTAAATTAATTAGAGATCTCTTATCCCCTCTCAAGAACAATAACGTATCATCCGCAAACAGCAAACAAAAGATTATTTACTGGAATCATACCCTTGCCTGCATGAAAATAACTTTCTAATTTGTGATGGAAAATAGCTTTTAAACCTCTACTAAGAACCTTTTCCGCAATTATAAACAAACTAGGAGAGATAGGATCTCCTTGTCTGAGTCCTCTAGAGGTAGGGAAAAAACCATACCGTTGACCATTTATAGCCACCGAAATATGTTGATTACTTAAACAATTCATAATAATTCAAACAAATAGATGAGAAAAACCAAATTTCAGCAAAGTACATCTTAGAAAATCTCATTCTACTCTGTCATATGCTTTCATCATATCCACCTTCATTATCAATTTCCACCAAACACTTTTCTGTCCAACTACCCCACCATCAATTGACATATTGCAAAACAATCTCCAATATTCCTTCCCTCTACAAACCCATGTTGTTAAGCTGAAATGAGCTTAGGTAGGATTCTCCCAAGCCTCTTAGACAAAACTTTAGAAAAGACTTTGTACATAAAATTGCAAAGACTAATAGGTCTGAATTCTGCAAAACAAGATGGATTAGCTACTTTCGGAATCAAAACCATTAAAGTGGCATTTGCAGATCTTGGAATAGCACCACCAAATAAAAAGAAGTTACAAGCTAATAATAAATCCTTGTGAATCATCTCCCATGCAACCTTCTAAAATTTTCCAGAGAAACCATCTGGACCTGGAGCACTTTTAGAAGACTTGTCAAACACCACACCTTTCAGTTCCTCTTCATCTATCTTAACTGTTAGCAACTCATTGTCAGATTGAGTCACCAAAGAAGGAATCAAATCCATCAGGACACCATTAATATCATGCGTTTCAGACTTATAAAGGTTAGAAAAAAACTTAACTGGAACATCAGAAATAGCTTGATCACCCTCTCTCCACCTACCATCCTCATCTTTAATTCTTCTAATTTATTCCGAACAGCTTTACTCTTTGCCATGGAATGGAAAAACTAAGTATTACGATCACCTTCCAAAACCCATTTGACATTAGCTTTCTGTCTTCAGTAAATTTCCTCCAACCTTAGTACTTCATTCAACTGCATCCTAGCCTCATCACAAGAACTGAGAGAAGCTATCGAACTATCATCTTCCACTCTTCTTTCAGCTCTTAATAGATTCTCCTCTAATAATTTAATTTTTTGAAAAATATTTCCAAACACCTCCCAATTCCATTTCCTCAAATTAACTTTCACATTTTTCAATTTCTGGAAGAAATTCTCAATTGGGTTGTTGGAATAAAAACCTATCCAACTACACCCCACCACTTCTAAGAATAATGGATGTTCCGTCCACATATCTTGAAACTTAAAGTATGATGGCACAATAGAATTCAAGAATTCACTTGTTTTAATCAAAAGTGGGGCATGATCAGACTCACCTCTAGGTAAATGAGAAACCTTTGTTGAAGCACATCGTAGATTCCAAGCAGGTGTCCTTAAAGCTCTATCCAAGCGAGACCAAATTCTAGATTGACCTTGTTGATTGTTACACCATGTAAAGGAGCTTCTCGAGAAACCACAATCAATAAGACCATTTTCTTGGATAAAAAATGAAAAATCCTCCATTTCTGCCAACCTTGGACGTCTCCCTCCAAGTCTTTCATCTGAAGAAACAACTACATTGAAATCGCCCACCACTAACCATGGCCAAGTAGGTTCAACAATTACAGATAAATGATCCCACAAACTTCTCACCAAATATTCACAACTTGCATACACCAATGACATGTAAACTGGAGGAGACCCTAAAAATGACACCTTAATAGTCATAACTTGAGAATGTATGTGAATGACATTCACTAACACCCTGTGATCCCAAACAGCCACATTTTCCTCTCTGCCAATTCATTACTAACCGAGAAATTCATATTCAAACTTCTTCCATACCTCTGCATCTTTGAAACATTCGCTAAAGGTTCTAGAATTGACACCAAACAAATGTCATGCAGTCTTATTAACTCCCTGAGCCTAAGCTTAGAATCTTTACTTCCCACTCCCCTTATATTCCACGATATAAAACTAATCATTAACAACTTCAAAAGATGATAAAGTTCTAGATCGGGATCTAGTAATTCTCACAGAGGCACCCTCTTTAGCTTTGCCTTCAGCTTCATCATCTTCTTGTGCTTCTCTGTATCTAATTTCCAATTCAAAGTCTTGCTAAAATTCTTTAGAACCTCCAAGTCCTCCAAAATTTCACAACGAGTCTCCTGATCAGAATAATATCCTCTGCCAAAAAAGTCCTTCTCCTTCTCTCCTAATTCTAGAATATCATCGTTTGCCCAAACCTTTTGCTTTAGAAAAATTCTATGATTTCTCATCAATATTTTGGGCCAAATTACGAAAGACTCATGTGATTTACCTCGAACTACATCATGTTGATCTGTAATAGCAAGATTTTTCACAGAATATTCAGAATTCTAGGCTTTGTTTTCTTCAGAATCACCAGTAGATTCATTACTGATTTGTTCCTCCAAAATGATATTAGAAGCTTCTCTATTTTCTTGACAGCGGTCTCTAACCTGTCTCGTGATTTTCAGATTATGAATCACTTCTTTGGGTTCCAAGAATACATTCGTCAATTGGTTCTTTGAACTCCCATCCTCCTCCCCCTCTTTGTTAGCAGTCGTTGGTTGATTAACAACTCTAATTTCCAGAACAGTTCGCTTATGATCCCTCGGAGTAATAACATCATCTCTAGAGCGGTGAACCTCCTTAATACGGATTTCCTTATGCCCCTCTTCCGCTACCCATGCCTTACCCTTTGATTGTGCCAACGTAATCTTTGGAACTAATTTTCCCAGATTTAAGGTCCCTTCTATCTTCCGGCGTTTATCAGGTTCTTCCCCTTGTCTAATCTCCTTATTCCTACGACACTCCTGATCTTCGTGACCTTGTTTGAGACAAATTTTACAATATTTGCTATGTTTCTCGTAATGGATCTTCTGCCATCTTCCCTTATATCCCCCTTGATCAAGCCATATCCTTTGAGGATTTTCACCTCCACACACACAGGAGCAACATTCAACCATGTTAGATTCAACATAGATTGATCTATTGCTAAAACACGACCAACAGGACTCATAATTGACGTGAGACATTCCCTGTTAAATAAATTGAAAGGCAGCAGTGGTAATGAAATCCACATTGGTACTACAGAAGGTTCCACACCAGGAACAAAATCTGGAGACCACTTGAAAAATCTGAAGAACTTTCCTTCAATATAAATAACGTCTTTCAACCAAGTATGAACATAATCCTCAAAGAGAGAGAATCTAATCGCAATATGCCTTGAATCCACACTAGTAACATAAAATTCCCCTTTGATCGCCCATTTAGATGATACAAATTCATGAATAACCCCTAGCGATGGTCTCCCATACGTACACTTACCAATCAACATTTGGTGAAAGGGATGACATGTAGATTGAATTTAGTCCTTGGTCCAATATAATGATGGCTACCCATTGTTGTAAACTAGTTTCTTTACTTGGATGATTACAGGATTAGTAACAAACTTCAGAGGTTGTGCAGCAGCATGATCAAATAAAGAGGCATAAGATTTATCAGAAGGCTTAGATGGAATAATGTTTGTTGTTTGGGTGTCAACAATGAAAAAGGAATTCTAGGGAGGAGCTTCTCTCTCTAGGGTTGAAGGCCTAAACGATGGCATAATATAACTCACAAAGTACCTAAAAACAATAGAAGCAATTTAAGTCATAGACGGATATAATAATAATTTATATATTTAAATACAAAAGGACGTGTTAGACTTTATAATTTCTTATAATGACAAAATAGTGAATGAAAAATTTTTCAAGTTAAGATACTTTTATTAATAGTATAATTATAAATTAATATATAAAAAGAGAATTGTGAATTTTTAAAATTAAAGTTATATTAATATTGATAAATTAATGTTTAATAGTAATTAAAATTTAATTAATACAGATAAATAAACCTAAAATAGTTTTGAAAAACTAAAATAGATAAATTTACTTGAAAATATCATTGGACATAAAATTTATAACACAGATAAATTCATGTTATATATAATAAAAAAATAAAATTTTTATTAATACAGATAAATTAACCTAAAATAGTTTTTAAAATCTAAAATTATTGAAATAGATAAATTCAAAATAAAAAGAGTAAAATTTTATTCATGTTACGTATAAAAAAAATCAAAGTTTTATTAATGCGGATAAATTGCCTTGAAATAATTTTGAAAATCTGCGACTTACTAAAACAGATAAATTCATAACAAAAGAATTATTAAAACAAAAGTTTTATTAAAATAAATAAATTTACTTACAATATCATTGTAAACAAAGTTTCTAATATAGACAAATTCATTTTATATATAATGAAAATCAAAGTTTTATTAAAATGGATAAATTCAAAGAAATAGAATTATGAAAAATAAAATTTATAATATAGATAAATCCATCGCTTCATAAGTTTTTTGGGTTGTAGATATTAAATAGATGAGAGTCAAAATATTTGACAACTTCCACAAATAAAAAATGTTCTAAATTGATTTTTTTTTTTGAGACAATCTAAATTGATTCAGAATTATAGTCTTTGAAACAAAAGGGCTCAAGTAATAACGATCAAATATATGTATATATATAAATATGAATTTGTGAAACACACACACATATAATATAATCTAGTAACGATCAAATATTTATATGAATCTATAAATTTTATAATCAGTTGAGATACAAAAATAAATAAATTGAACAAGCACCAGCGAACATATATGTATAGGTATGTATAAATCTTTGGAACATTTGAATATGTTGATCTCATAAGAAATACGAGTTTCAGAATTTTTCGAAACAAGATAACTTAGCAAAAGAAAGGGAGAATTCTTTTGAGATTTGAAACCTAATTTTTGAAAGTTGAAGAAAATTAATTTAAAATTCAAAACATTCGCATGACAAAATACATGAATAGAGTAATTGAAATCACGTTGATTATGTGCATGAAACACTGAAGGATAATTGAATCTTTATCTATATTATTATTTCTAAATGTCCCCATAACTGAAAAACTTTTTAACAACAAAATTACCCTTAACAAAACGAATAATGACAACACTATCTCTTTTAGTTAATAATAAATTCATAATATTGTCTATAATGGCCACAGTTTATGTGGCTGTTGGGCTGCCTTAGCAAATAAATAATGGAAGCACTATTTTTTGAGTTAATAAATAATAAATTCACATGGAATTTCCGTAATGATGACAGTTTATGTAGCTGTTGGGTTGGCCTACTATTACAAATTCTAACACTCCATATATTTAACTCCACATACCATTCAACAATCTCAAAACAGAGACCTTCGGGTTCAATGTCTTCTTGCATAACGCCCGGAGGTGGTTCATTCTCGTGAACAAGTTGATGGCAAGAATATGGTCTTCACTGATAATTCTTGTGAGTCAATCCCAACATGCTGCATGCTTGGAAAGTGCATGCTCTGCCATGGAAAGTTTTGCATATATTCCATTTGAAGCTCTTGGGATTAAACCAACTCTATTTGTCCCACAATATTATTTATTCGATTTGTTATTGTTTTTCAAATCTTTTAATAGTGTTAGAATTATAAGTTTTTTAGAAGTCTTGTCACATTGGATCTTTCTAAATGCTTTGTAGCATTTTACACTACAAGAAAAAATAGTTTTTATGGTAGTAAAGTACTGTCATAAAAAGTCCATTTGTCATCACAATTACTTTTTTGTGGTGGCATTACCTCGCCATAATAAGTGTGGTCTCAAAAGATTTTTACGACAGCAACGGTCTGTCTCAAATAGTATTTACGGTAGCAAGACCCTGTCGTAAATCAATTGTCACAAAAATTCCGACACTTTTGCTTTTATCACGGCGGCAAAAGTGCTACTTCAAATAGCACATTTGTTTGTTGTAAAAAATAAAAGATTTTGTTGTGGCGGTTAATATACTGTTACAAAGAGTATGAAATTTTTTCTACGTTAAATATATTTACGACTGCAAAGATACCGTCCCCAAAAAAAAAATTAATTGTTTTATAATTATTATGGACTCATACACTCCGTACAACTTTTATTTTTTTGAGAGGGGAAGGGGGAGAAAGGGGCTTGAACCCTTAACTTTAAGAAGACAAAGTTTTCACAAAATAAGGAGTACCATTGGTATCCATACAATTACCCAATTCAATATATAGATAAATACAAAAGCAAATATAACCAACATTTTCAAAAACATAGCAATATTTTCATATCAAAAAAAAAAAAAAAAAACAATCACATGAGTTAAACAAAATGTAAAATATGCACTTTTACAAAACATAACCATCCATGGGTGCAAGAAATTAATAAAAAAAGTTGAACATCATTTCCGAACCATCTACTCTCTCAATGACATCTGGAAAAAACATAAAATAATTGTTACTATACTGAGATATACATATATACAATAAATAACTAAAAGAAGTTAGAATATACATTAACAGAGGGTCACACAATATTTCTCTGAACGGCTTGTCCAATTATGTAAATAGTATATAAACGAGTCATATCGTATACATTTCTTATAATTGATTTCACTAATATCTGATTCGTTTATAATCGTATTTTGTCTGGTACACTCGTTTACTAAACAGGCGGCTTAAGGAAAACATAACTCACTAATTTTATGTCGTGTTAATGGATTGTGTCATATTTTGACACCCCTAATTTTAATCTAAGAAATTGACTTTGTAAAGTTTAATTTTTTTTCTTTGAACTGTAAATTATCTTTTAATGTAAACCTACGTAATTTTATAAAATATTACTTTTAACATGAAAAATAGTTGTGGCAAATACAATTTTTTTAGAGTTTTTCTTTTTTAAATTATAAAAAAATAACATTTTAATGTTTTATCAAATATTATATACAACGGGAAAAATAGCTTCCATAAATATAATTTCTTTTTTGAATTTATGAAATATTATTTGCGGCAGAAAAAACAGCTGTCTCAAATACAAAAATTTCTTTCGAGTTTATGACACTATTTACAACGAGAAAAATAGTTGTCACAAAAATTAACAAAATATTAATACAAACATGCATATTGTGATGGCAAATACAGCTGCCACAAAAAATTATCTCAAACATGTCTTTTATAATGGTGAACACAGCCGTCGTAAAAAATTTGTTACAAAAAACTCTTATTCTTATAGTGTTATTAGCAGTGGGATTATTTTATTCGTTTAAGTGTTGAAGACTTCTCGGTCTTCTCGTTGCTGTAGTCATAGATCATCTTGGTCAAGTTTTGTTTTCCTTTATGGTAGACCTCTTTGGAATCATTTGTGTGTTTCAATTTATTGCATTCTTAGCTTTTACATTTTCTTGCAATTTTGTTTCATTTCTTTCTTGGATCTTGATCAATTCTTTTTGTGATTCTCGTATGCTTGATTATGTATCTTTGAGGGCCTACAGAAGCAATACCGTTGAATTCTTGTCCTTGTTCACCAATCATACCTTCCAAATTCATAAACTGCTTCCCAAATGCCACTCTTGATGCTAGGGACCCCAAATAATTCTAGATAAAGAAAATTATTTTCCACAATTATTAGTTTACAAATGATTTAATGAGATTACTCATCTAATGGTGTTGAAAGCTTAGGTTGCATTTAGTAACGTTTTCGGTTTTCAGTTTTAAAAAAAAAAATAAAAACTGAAATAGTTTTCGATTTTCAGTTTATAAAATATGAAAACCAAAAACCTGTTTGGTTATATTTGCTGTTATAAAAAAAAATGAAAACATAAACAGAAAACTTGTTTAATAAACACATCTAATTATTTTATGAACAACTTATTTACACCATACACTTCCATGCTAGTTTAACTGTAAAAATAATAGAATATAAGGATAACATATTAAGGCATAACATAATTCATAAACATCTATACTACAAATATATCCCATAATTTACAAACATCCAAGATAGCAATCCACATACACCAAAAACCATATGTCTCAATGTCTAACACTTGCCCGCAACTCATTGGCAACGCAATCTCGCAAATGAGCCATTTGACGAATCTGAGTTTGACTGATATCTACTTCAATTGGGTTCTGTGAAGTCGATCCTGCATTATCATCCACTCTTTCTACATTACTGAACTCATCAAATAATTGATCTTGAGCAGCGTGTATTCTAATGAAATTGTGAACCGTACAACAAGCTGTTGGGATATATTTTTGTGTTATTATAGGGTAAGGGGGCATTTGTTTGAGAATGGAAAACCAAGCCTTTAGCACTCCAAAGCAACGCTTAATGACATTCCAAAGTGATGAGTGATGATAATTGAATAGCTCTATCTCACTCCTTGGACGTCGGCCACTACCTCTATAGTCACGTAAATGATATCTCTCACCATGATATGGTGACAAAAACCCAGGCATGTTTGTATATCCAACATCAACAACATAATACTTATCTGGCATGTACAGTTAGTGATAAGTTATAAATTCTACGAATGAAAAGAAAGGTTACAATGAAGAATATTACCTCCTTTAGGCATTGGGAAATTATTTTCTGGATTGTTAATGGACTCAATAAATACTCTCGAGTCATTAGCAGTTCCTTTCCAACCACTTATAACAAATGTGAATCGCATGTCAAACGAACATGCACACATGACATTTTGTGTTGGCTCTACTTTCTTATCATGATATGTGATTTGCTTACTCACTGGTATACATGTGTCAACATAAGTTCCATCTATAGCACCGATGCAATTCTAAAACATAATAAAATGTTAATATACATAATGATGTGTATAATAAATAATAAAAAATAGAAGATACATTACCTTGAAAAATGGATAGTAATTAGGATTGTGTCGAATATGAGGTAAAACGATATGGAAATCAGGAGGTCTGATAATGTGCACTCCAAGTCTACAAATTGCTTTCAAGACTCAATGAAAGTATGTGGAAATAGTGTGACCTGAATGTTGGAATCTCTCTACTACCAAACAGACTCTCTCATTGTGAGATATAATCAGTAAAAAAATAGATACTTGTTCTTGAACTGTCACATACCTAGAGTTTTTTCAAATTGTCCTTACTTTTTAGTTCTTCACAAAACAAAATAAACAAATGGGGGTCCATCCGAAACTGATCATAGCACCTATCTTCATGTCCATGTCATATTTCTAGAACATAGTCATGACCTTTAAGTACAGAGGTCCTACATGATTTTTTTTTTTTTATCAAAAATGCTATCAAGTTCCTCTACGAGTAATAACATTACACACATAACTATCTCATACTCTTCCCCATCCTCCTCAATCAATTGAATGACATCATTCGAGTTCATCATATCCATAAATTACCTAATACAATAACAACAAATAATTATTAAACCAAACCAACAATATACTATTCCACAAAACATTGAAGTCATCACAAACAAAAAAAACACATTGACCAACAACCAAAGGTTAAAAGTAGTCTGCTAAAGGTACAAAACATGGTTTAAAGTCATCACAAAAAATACAGCCATGGCCTAACACATCACAAATTCATGACTACACCCCTCTTCCGATAATCAGGCAACTCCAAGAACAGTTTCCCCCACACCGCATCATCACGCATTAATTTTAAGACTTTTGTATAAGTCACATCATCAATGTCCTCAAGAGAGTTCAAAGCGTCGATGCAGTCTTTCAACAAGTCGAGATGTGGGTCAATCATAGTCACTAAATCAATCATAGGGTCTGCACAAGTCGATGATGATCCAACACTTGCCATCCTTTTCTCGTTGAACTCCGACCTTACCTTAGCAGATTCAGCTAACATGTTTAGTGCATTGGTAAGGGCACAAGTACAAGAATCTTTCTTCTTACACCGACTACTATTAGGAGTGATAGAGCGGCTTCGATTACGATTGGTCGCAGTTGGATTATCATCCACATTGTCATTGGCATTTCCATATTCCTCATCATCTTTTGGGTCATAATTGGAGTCATGTTCATCATCAGGGGGAGGCTTGGTTGAAGGGTAAGCATGTTCACTAGTTGTCGTTGTGTCACCATAGATTCTACACAATGCATCATAATGTGGACAACCCTTTTCCTTGAATTTTCTGGCATTCTTATTGACCTAACAATATAGGATTATGATCAAACACATTCTAGTAATGACCATTTAATGAAAATCATATCACATTTGAACACAATAAAAATTTATACCTTGAACTAATTTTTCCACACATCATCTGACAGTCACTGTCCCTTTCTCTGGATCCCAACCAACTCCTGTAGTTTCATTAACTAGTTTGTGGAAATCACTCCATACTCGCATCAACTGATTAAACTTATTCTTAAGTTGCTCATGGTTATATGAATACCCAGTTCAGCTTTTCAGTTCCTCAAGAATGTATTTCCATGCTTCTCTTTTTGAGTGTAATTGTACCTCTATTTCATTTTGCAACCTGCTCATCCATTAAATCTATAAAAATTGTCTCACTCTTAACAAGCCATTGGGTATTAGATTTGGTGGATTGAACCTCAACCACATCGTCACTACCTACATTGCTTACATTGGTATTCATCATCTACATCCACACATTCTAATAACATCATATGTATGAAAAAAATTGATGAAATCAGATATTTTTAGTGCATGGACAATAAATTCAAAGGCAAAATCATGGATTAAAACAAAACAAAAACAAATGTGATCATATCATTGAAAATGTCCCAATCTTCAACTTCTAACGCAATGTACAACCTAAAGCAAATCAAATCTAACACCAAAAAAAAATGTAACACAAAAAATGTAAAGCAAAAAAATTGACGGTAATACAAAATATAATGTAAAGTGAATTCTGTAAATCAATAGAATGGCTCACATTCCATAAAGCAAAAAAAAAAAAAAATACCAACATTATGAAACAACACCAGATCACTTCATATAATGAATTAATTGTTGTTTCCTTCGATGATGCCATGGTAGCCTAAAATTTGCATGCCAAAGAGAGATAAAGAAACCAAAAAACACCAAACCCAAAAATTAAACCCAAAAAAAAAAAAACCAAAACCCAAAAAGGCGAAAATCCAACTCTCATTTGCCTGTATTGTACTTTTAAACTGTATAGTTTTCTTATATTGATGAATCTTTACATGTTAAGGTATGTTTTTAGGGAAGAATTTGTTGTTAGTTTGGAGATCTCAACAGAGTAATCAAATGGGTTTCTGGTATCAAGTCCAAAACCCAAAAATCGGAGCTCAAAAAGAGAGACAACCCACCAAAAGAAAGTAGAGATCGACACCAGAGAAAATAGAGCTTTAGATCTAATAACAAGATCTTAGGGAATAGAGACAGAAGCAGAATAACAGTAAGTTGAAAGCCCAAGATCAATAAAGGTGGGAGAGAGTGATGAGGAAGAGGATTGAGAGGCTGTGGAGGCGATGATTTATAGAACAAAAAGGTTGGTAGGAAAATGAAAGTGCAAGAAATGGATAGAGAAATCAGTAGTCGGAGAGACCCATTATTGTTCTAGTTTGGTATTGGAGAAAAACCATTTAGATCTAACACAAAGAAACAACCTATGGATCAAGAAACAAAACTTCAAAAATAAAAATTACATGTAATGTAAACCCAACAATTCTCAAAACCCATATAAAATCTGTTTATTATTGCCGTTAAATCTCACCAAAACAGAAAATTTTCGATCAAACTAAAAAATTCTGAAAACCCTGGATCTAATAACTTACCTTGGTGAGAGAGATGAAGCTACTGTGAATAACCTTGGTGAGAGAGTTTCAGATGAGAGAGACGAACTGCTAGATGCCTGGTGACTATGAGACGAGAAAGAGAGAGCTTCAGATGAGATGAGAGTGACGACGAGAAGAGAAAGACAATGAGATGAGGGTTTAAATAATTTTGCTTGAGAGTTTTGTGGTAGAAGGCTTTATTTGTTCCTAACAAGAGTCGATGATGTGATCTCACTAAATTGAATTCCGCCCCTTTCCCTTTTTTTTTGGAAACAACTTTGTCTTTTCTAAAATCTAAGACAAGTTTGAAAACGATTTTAGTTTTAAAAAAAACTAAAATGATTACCAAATGAGGTTAAGTTTTAGGTTTTCTAAAAAATTGAAAAGAAAAACAAAAAAATTGAAAACCAAACTGTTATCAAACAGAACCTTAAATTTCAAAACCAAGATCTTCATTATCATTTCTACATCTGTCGAAAGATAGATGACTCAAACTATTGAGTTTTGTGTCAACTGTCCCTGCATGAAAATTAATTGCTTTGTGGTGTTGTGCGCTCCAAATTCTCTTGAACTTATATCTCTTGGTCATTTCTCTTCATCGAGCGAGTAAATAAACAGTAATGTTACATTGACCAAATTTTGAGACCAAATTAAAAGTTTAAATGACATGACAGCTGACTTGGGCTTATTTATTTTGTGTTATGTCATTTGAGCCACAATAAAGACTTCAAATAATGTGCTTCCATGTCATTTGGGCTCTTAATTTTGTCCAAAAATTTGGTCAGTGGGGTATTACTGGTACATAAAATATTGTTTTCTCTTTTTCATCTTAGAAAAAATTATGGAATCAATGCTGAGATTTCAATAGTTATTTTTTGGCAACTTATGATGACATTTAATGAAATCGAGATACAAACTTTGAGCAAATGTGGTAGAAAAATTTCCTATGATCCCCTCAATATGCTAAAGCCACAGCAAACATGTATAAATTTTATGTTATTAAATCACGTGATTGCAGTGTCATCCGATTTTTCCAATCGAGCTGGTATGAAAAGTTTTACTTCTGTTGGGAATTAGTGACCTACTGCATCCTCAATCAGAAATTCCTTTCCTGTTTTTGGCCCATTAAAAATTCATGGTGACATCGTCCATGAATTTTCATAGTATCTAATACTATTCTTTCAAAAAGTAAGTATTAAGAAACTCTCCCCATGTCATAAGCACGAAGTTTTAGTGTGTATCAACTACAATTGATTCTTGAGGTCAATTTGATCCGCCATCTGTCATCCATGTTTCATTTACTATTGTTAGTATTATACAGTTTAATTGATTTAAAAATTCTTTATTTTTATATAAAAACAAACAAAGACATATATAAGTGGAGTGGCTAAAGACATTCAGTTTCTAACTCTTTTTAAGTTCTATATAATGATTGAATTTTATCAGTTTTTATAAGCCAAAAGAGACCAAAGCTAAGAAATTGAATCTATCAGTTCCCTGCACTGTGCATTTGATTATTTCAAATTCTAATAAATAAACATTTCAATAGAATGATACATACATGAAGTAACAGATTTGATTAGTAGGTGTAACCTTTCTTCTAATTTTTCCAGAATTTCTTAATACTGTAAGGTTATTTTTGTCTAACTATTTTTTTTTTTTACATTTTTATTGAGTTTAGTTATGTATGAAGATACCTTAATTGCATACATGAAGTAATACTCAACTTTAGTTTGAAGTGTAGCACACAAAAGTATATCACACGTGTCCTTCACGACTCGAAAAGAATATGGTTGGTTTTATTAGCAAAAATGTACTCTTGGAAGTATTGTTCACTAATTTTTACTTTTTTTTTTTTTTTGCATACTTCACGTGGGGTCCCTCCATTCTCTCTCTCTCTTTATGGAGTAAATATTAGATGTATTGGTTACACCATGTCATCACGTTGACACAATGTAACCGTTTATAATAGGATAACAAGTGAGTAAGTCGATCTCATATGAAATAGTTATTTTATGACAATGATGGGTAGTTATTTAATTATGTGGATCCACTTGCCTGCTTATTATTTTATCTTTGGTACAACCGTTACACCCAATATTTTTTATTAATGCTATATGAACTTAAATAATAAACTTAAAAAGTATACTTGATAATTAAAATTATTAAATAGGTAATGAGTCCGAATAAATATTGAGTCAGAAGACACCTCACCTCTCGATCTCTCTTTGATCTCGCTCTCACCAACACCAACATTCCTCCCACCAAAGCCACCACCCTCTACCGAAACCCTAGATCAAATTATTGTCCCTTATGGTCAGCCTAAGGTGCACATGTATATATCTAATTGGTAATTTTTTTCGTTTTGCTATTTATAATTTTTTGAAGCTGGGGTTTATTTTTTGATTCTAATTCTTGTGAAATATATGGGGTTTATGTCTTTTTCTTGGATTAGTGGATTTAGATTTTATAGATTTGAGAATTATTTCGCAGCTCGTTTTTGGCTAGGGCTCGGCTCAAGTTTGTACAAAATCGGGCTTGAGCAATAATTTGGCATCGGTGCCCAAGCCGGAGCTGAGCTTGAACACTCTTTCGACCCAAGGCTGAGCTTGATTTGTATAGCTCGATTAGCACCCTTATGTACAGGACTGGACTTTGTTGATTATGCCTGACTGCTATAAACTGGTCCTTGCAAATTTCTATGGATCAATACAATATCTTGCCAGATAAAAACAAAAAAAACAAAAAAAAAAAATTATGGAAAGAAACTTCATTGCTATTCACATCCAAACAACAACAAACAATTTTCTTCAGAATGATAAGATGCATCATATCATCTCATTTATTTGATACAATACACGTACACACATGCTAAAAATCAGTACTCTTACATAATGGATAGACGATTAACTAATAAGAGACTCTAAGACGTTGCATCCTGAGTCCAAACCGCACCAGATGAACGATTTTTCTAGTCTTTATTCGCTCACACCATGGGAACCCAGACAATGTGTTCTTCACTAAACACATGGCAAATTGGAACAGTTCCTGGTTCAACCTTGAGCACTTGAAATGCAAAATGCTTTGGGTTCCAAGCTGAAGTATCAAAATGGCACACTCCTACTGCTTTAGCCTTCGTACCGTCGGCACCCTCCAAGGAAATCTTGTAAGCTTTGGTGTTGCTTATTTTGTGGCAGTAAAACACTGCATATGCATAGGGCAGTTTGTGGCACACAACGGCCTCTTCGCCCGCCATCTTCTTCACCCCTGCAATAAGGACAGTCAACTAGTGGTGTCATGTCATTTCGCCTTCTAAACAGTCTAAACCTTGTTGTATCAAAATTTGATTAACTCCTATCCATTTCATTTGAAATTGTGTATAGTTGGATTATGTCGTATCGGGTTTATGTCATGTTTATTTAGATTTCTATCGACTCACTGATTTGAAACGTCTAGTGGATTTGTTTATTTACCACTAAATATGTTTAGATTAAACTCAAACCCACTAATTACGAGAAGATATTATGCCAAAATTTGCTTAAACTATATAGAATTCATTTAAAGTCATTGATAATCAACTGTGTTGTGTCAAGTTCATGTCCTATATAACTTGTGTTTAACCCGTTTTTTGTCATACATAGTTGACTTTGCATTGGCACCTTTATTCGACACGTTTGGTGCGTTCACCTATTTACTATTTGAAGTGTATTAACCCCAAACCGCCAATCATCAGTTCGGGTTCACGAATCATATTTAAAATTGCCAACCATACCTGTAATGCTAAACTTCTGCAGCTGAGTTTCATTTTCCACCTCGGTGGACATGGCTTTAACTCTTTTTCCCAGCTTTGAAGTGCTGAAATCAATCATTTCTTCTAAAGAAGTGGCACAATACTTCTCCTCTGCTTTAATGCCAGGCTTCTCACACTTTTTTATTGTCTTCTTCATTGTTTCACCTTCCACTGATTTGGGAGTCACCAAAAATTTCTTGAAAATTTCAGGCAATTCTTTGGATGCAAAAGGGATCGATTCAGCAATCGCGCGAGGCAAGAAAGCAGATTCAATTGTACCTTTGGTGAACTGCAAGTTCATCTTTGTGCCTTCCTTCATGTCATTCTCTAGAAAGTATAGAGTAAAATTTTCGAATTGATGGAGTTGGTCCATTGTTGCACCATCTACGTATATTTTAATCCCTTGAAGACCATGATCTTTGCCTACAGCATCCTTCCCTACCTTAACAACAGTGTTTTTGTCTTTCATCCATTCTGCAGAACAGCAACATCAGGAATTAGAACTACTCACAGCTAAATAGCTGGCCGTGTCGTTCCTCCGGTGCAATTATTTTGGAGAAACTAGAGTGCTAGCACAAAGCAAGTACCATGTTAAAGCATTAACTACTCGAAACACTTAATTTGTCAGAGATGATGAAACTTAAGCTTTTGTATTTAAACATGTACAAATTATTAGAGAGGCTTCTCTAATTCCTTTTTATCATGCTCCAGATCAGACATTGTTCAATGCCGTATTGCCGTGATATTCAACATTTACTAGGAAGGTACTAAGACACGTGAGTTGCCTCGTGGAATTATACACACGAAATACTAGATGAAAGATAAAGTTAGACATGACAAGAGTTCAAATCATATCGCAGTGTAATACAATGATATTGATAGATTTTACGCAATTCACTGAATATAATTGGGACAACTCGGCCAAGTCATTCGAGATGTCTCTAAGTTAAGTGAAACTTTTGGTTTAATCAAAAATATTTATGGTTCTTGGGAATGACAAGTGCAAGTCGTGTATGATTCTACAAAGTACATAGTCAATTTATATTGGCGGATATTTTCAACCATGACATCAAAGAAGGTCTTGAATGCTTCATTAACTTGTTACTATTAAGTGTAGAAATTATATAAATCAGCTTTTCTATTCTTATTATCGTAAAAGTCCAGAAAAAAAAAATATTCTTGTTATTATGGATGCTCCAAAGTGAGTGAATTGTAAGAATCCTTCCCACACCTCCTCTCTTTCCAAAATATCTGAGATAGTATTGTTATTATCTAATGTTGTCTCAAATTTTCTTCTTTTTTGCACCAACTAGGCTCAAATATACAAGAAGGAACCTTAAGTTTTTCTTATTTACCTTTAAACACTGATGATTTGAGACATCAGAAAAAACAGAAAGCAAAAGGGAAGCTCAGCCACAAGCACTCAAAAGCTGAATTTATCCAAGAATCTCAGATTAGTGAATTTTACCATGTTTTTTTAAGAATCAACAGAGTAAAACCCATGAAGAAATTTAGAAATAGACTTGGGGAGGGGAGTTTTTTGGATTCTAGACCAACCAGGGTGTAGAAGATCTTTAACTGCTTTTGGCATGGGAGTGTTTGGCAGCACAGACTTCCAATAAGCCACTGGATCAGCAGGTAAAGAAGCAAAGCTAGTCTCCAGGACCAGGGCCAACTGAAAATAATAATAATAATAAAGATAACATCTCATTGAATTTTATACATGAATATAGGAACTAGTGAATATATATTACGCAGACCACACACACACGCACACACTGTAGAAGAATGCGTATTTAGTTCCTGGGATTGTGCAAGATTTTATACTCACAGAGAGAAATGTGAAGATGGGTGTAATTCTGAACTCCATTGAGCTATCAGAGCTGTGATATTAAAGGAAATTATACAGGAAGTGAAACCAAAGTTTGCAATGAAGGAATGGAGGTTGCCACTTTATTTGTAAGTGAACATTAGGAGTTCTTTTTATTTTGTTATTTTTTTTTATAGCAGTTCAAGTATCAGAAAATCGATATACACTCCCTAATGATTTTAATTGATGAGATAAATTTAGGGAATCAAATATCATTCTACTTTCAAATAGTAAATTTAAGTAGCATTATTTTTAATTTTTTTTAAAATAAATAATGGTTGAAGGGAGTTTATGAGTAATTATTTAAACTAACTATCGGAGGCATTTGAAAGATTGTTATTTTGGGGAAGAAGACGTGACAATTGTGCTTTCATGGAGCTGAAAGTTGTCAGAAATTCAAACAAGTGGCCAAAAGTGAAATTATTAGTAGGCCAATCACATACATTACATATAGTTTAGAGATCTGCATGGGAAGTGTCGGCAGGGCCGGTTATAGGCCACTAAACTCATTGCCTAGGGCCCCAAAATAAAAATTTATATAATGGTATGTAATCTAAATATTGGGATATAATTTAAATATTCAATCTATTTTAACAATTGAATTAATAGGGAGTGCTAACTTTAAATAAAATATATTATTTATCCAATGTATTTAGACCTTAAATCAAGTACAGATAGTATTATCGTAAAATTTTTAGAACATCTTTCAAAAACAATTAAAGCCCTAGAGTTCAACCTAATTTTCTTATTTCACCTGATGTTTATATTATATGTATTATCACTTTGTAATCTTATTATTAAAATCAATAGTCCATTGTATAATATGTATAAATAATAATTTTATATTTCTATAGCTTAAATTTAAGGCTAGTTTTTGATCAATTTGTTTATAATGAATAGAATGACTATAAAACAGAATGAGTATAAGTAATATACTATTTGAAAGTAATCAACCATAGTTGTCTTACTAGTTAAACTAATTTTCAATTATGTTTTTTTTTATCTTCAACAAATAGCATGTATCATTTGCATTTGATCTCCAAATTTGACTACGGTTAACACAATTTTTATTTGCAAAATTTAAATTTTAATTAGTATGTTGTATCTCAAAACAAAAAACAAAACAAATAATTTTTTAATAAACATATTTTAATAATTTGATAACTATTTAATACAAATATTATTATTGAATAAAATATTACTAGGCCTCACACAACATTTTCGCCTTGGCCCCTAGCTGGGTTGGGCTGCCCCCAAGTGTCGGCAGAGTGTATTCACTTGTTTTCTTTAAGTGGGTAAATTACACAAATGGCCCAAGTTTAGCACTTATTAAACTTTCGTCCCTAAAATATCAATTTAGTCAATTTAATCCTTAATCTTAAAACATTTGACCAACATTGTCCCTTGCCCTAACTATTGTCCAAATTGATGACGGAAAACAACACTTGTACTTGACAGAGGAACATCTCTGTCTTTTTCCTTTATTTTCCCACCCATCTGACCACTCCCTCCTAGATGATATATATGTCTGATGAACCCTAATTTCTAATAGAACAAAACAGAGGAAGAAACTTCGGTGGGGTAAACCAAGCTTTGTAACAGAAGGAAGTGTTGTTTGTGGTATTTCAAATATATTAAAATTATTTATTAAAAATTTTGAGTTGAAACATATAGTATAAAAAAAAACCAATAATAGTCAAGGACGAAACAATTACATGTACGAAATAGTAACAGATACGAACAAAATAGTAATATAATAAATCTGTAATGTAAACAATGGATAAACTGACCCGTTTGCAGAATAGAAACTATTATTGAACTTTAAATAGATCAAGTCTAGTGTTTGACACTATGTCCTTAAGACATATTTCGCCTCCACACTTGGTGGTTATGGAAATCAAAGCGTTTGTCCAGCGACAATCTACTCACCTAGCGAACCAGAAATTATGTTGTGTTTTTCTCCAAATGCAGACTGCTAATGATGTATGCGACTGTCTTAATAACTACAAATTTATTGGATTCAAAATGATTATATAACTAAGTTATTTATAGAGAGAATGGTGACTGATCTAGATAGTCACCATATGGAACAGATGCAACTCAACACACACATTCAGCCAAAAGACACCATTGATTAACTGTTCATCTATGAACTAACACAACTAAAATTCGGAACTTGAGGGAACATTAACCCGAACTTGTGCGAATTTTAAATCCAATGAGTATCGAACTTAAATTCCAATTAAGAAATTCACGTCCAATTCGTTAAACGAATTTTCTCCAAAAAGATAAGGTTTGGTCTGAACCACACCCACACCTGGCCCTGTCAGGTTAGGTTGTGGTCGTGGGGAGGCGGCGCGTGCGCGCATGTGTGGTTAAATAGAAGACATGTATGCGCTCGTTTTGCTCATAAAATTGTGGTACCCTTTGGGACCCAATCCTATAAAGCAAACTTGGCTTATATATGTCCATATTGAACTTTTTCATCAACCAATGTGGAATTGGTGTCAAATCTCACATTTCACAACCTCTATTTTCACATTTCAAGAGGGTCATTTTAGAATCGATTTTCTCATTTATTTGTTACTCGATTTGAGCAAGTGAATATACTACATTATTTTTTTCACGTAGTAGAACACGAACCCACGAAAGTTTATTCGAAAAAATGTGTACTTAGCCATGATGATCTATGTACATTTACAATTCCTATGAATTTTACTATTAAACAGTTGTACTCAGATAATATGAGTATGAAATAACACATATATAATGTTTATTATATATTAAATGTCTAAATTACAAAAAAGAAAAATTATGCAACACCGTGTTGTAACATTTAACATTTTTACTATGACAGTTCTTTGTAACGGTCCACACATTATTTTTGATAAATTAAAAAAATGCATAAAATATGGAATAACACATATATTACCTTTAATCTTTATGCGTCATTCATTAATTAATTTGTCTCACTTAATTGGTTCCAGAGACGAAGACTCGATAATGAGACGCAAACATAGACTACAATTGTTTTGATATGCACAAACTCTTTAATCATTTGAATGAGAGGAGGCATAGTAGGTCTGACCATTAAAATAGTCTCCTAGGGCCCTAATTTAATTTTCAATCCTTAATTTAGCTTCATGTTCTGAGACCCTTTTGAATAGACCAAGTTAAAGGCTCACTATATTTTAGAAATCTATCTAAAACTTTATAGAAAATCCTAAATTGTAGCAATATTTTCACAGGTTTATGTAAAGCCTTATATATATAAAGTCTTAAAATATAACAAAATCTTCTAAACAAATCTAAAATTAACAATTTCTAGGTTTAAAAGTAACCACCTCTTTCCAACTTTTTCTCTCTATAACATTCTCATTGTCTTGTTCTAGTTCTTTGTCCTTATATCTAACTCTTTTGCTGTCTATTTAAAACTTCATTCAATTTATTCATCTATAAAAATCCTGACTTCACAATTATACCAAATTTATTATTTGATCCCGCTCAATCCCAAAAGCACTAAAATATTGAAAATAAATTATACCGTAACTTTCTATAAAACGTCTAATAATAGTTAATAAAAGTTATTATCTTCTTAAAATATTAAATGAGATCTCATGTAAAATTTTAACTTTAGGCCGCCATTGCATGTCGGACGAAATAATTGAGTTACAATGCATGTCGAAATAATTGAGTTACTATGCAGCGGATCCTAGGAGAAAAAACAAACGAAATAATTGAGTTACTATAGCAGGTCCCATGAGAAAAAACTAATGAAATAATTGAGTTACTATGCATGTCACTATGCAGTGGGTCTTAAGAGAAAAATCAAATGAAATAATTGAGTTACTATGCATGTCACTATACAACGGGTCCTAGGAGAAAAATCAAACAAAATAATTGAGTTACTATGGATGTCACTATGCAGCGGGTCCTAGGAGAAAAATCAAACGAGATAATTGAGTTATTATGCATGCCACTATACAATGGGGCCTATATCCTTAATTTCAGAAAGGTCCCCTTGGATTTACCCATATTATATAAATATTTACTTAAATTACACAATGATCCTAAAAGGTTATAAGATACTCGTAAATGCTAACTAAATGTATTTAATAGTTAGAATATATTTTTGAAACTTTATACTAGCTCCAAATTATTATGAGATATTACAAAATGACCCCCAATTGCAGGACGAAGTTTCTAAAAATTATAAAATTGTCCAAAAGTTTATAAAACTTAAGAAAGGGTAATAAGTAAAAAATTGATCTTAAGTACAACCCGAGCCTTCCACCGGCTCCTATAACACATGTAATGTCTTGCGTATGCATCCGAACATTCCAAGCCCCCACTATTGATGTTGAACATCCAATGCCCATTTTACAAAATCCCAAGTCTTCTTGGGGGAGGTATTTATGGATTTCCACCAAGGGGTACTCAATCAACACGACATCTATAGACTTCCTCCAATCGCTCTGTATACGCTGACACTTTGTGGACTCAATACCAACAGAGTGCGTGTCCAAAATTTCTTGGGCTTGCACCTGAGGGAGAATCTAATCATTCTTGCTAACCTCGACTCTTGTTTTCAATGCAACCCATGCGACTTAGTCGAACCTAGGTCAAACCTTCCCAAGCCCACTTATCAACCCAAGGATGATGGTGTTTGATTAAAACATGCACACACGCCAACACTTATGTCACATGCCCACGAATGTGATGTTTCTTGTGCATATGCAAATGTAGTGGACAATTGCAATTTACCAAATCATGTTCAACATATCATGAGTATATTATAAACATATTCTGTCTCAATTAACATTTTTCAATTGTCAAATATATCATAAGCATATAATCACAATTCACAACATTACCAAACATGTTATATCATTCTCATTTAAATAACATACTTAAATCCTTCCTAGGAATTTTACCAAACACCTACAAGGTACAAATTTATGTAAACACATAGCATGCCCAATTTAACAGATTCCTTCATG